AGGGTTGGTGTAGGGCAATAGAAAATACGGTCTGTACAGTATAAAAACCATTACGCCTATGGAGAGTCCCCACAAGGATAGCTGACCAGACAAGTGTGTGTGTGTGTGTGTGTGTGTGTTTACGGTTGTAAACCAAAGTTGGATGCTTTATTTTTTATGAAATAAAAAATTAAAATCTTTATGCAAAATCAAATGTCTTTAGTAGTAATACGACATTTCTTCACAGTTTTTGTGAGATTCACTCATATTACAATCTATTTCTTGTTCTATTGGCATTTGGATCTAATACAGTTTTCTCTGGGAAACTACACAAGTTCCTATACGAGCGTTCTCATCATTTTAATAGCATGTGATTTCATCATTATGTACATATTGGTCCTGTTGGATTATGCAATATTTGCTCAGGGCCTCTTCTTTGACAGCTATAGTCTATATTTCATGTGTTTCAGGTGGGTACAGGCAAAACGAGACACTGAGATTGATGTTTGATGTGTGTGAAAGTGTGTGTTTCGCACCTTCAGGATATTTGTAAAGGTGTGTGATGTCGACACGCTCGTCGGAGCCCACAGCTTTAGTGCTGATGCAGTGGCCGACTGCTTTCTTCTCACTGTGGATCTGACTGAAGGTGCAATCCAGGTTCCTCTGCCAGTAGATCTTATCACTGTTCACCTGCAGCAGAAAAAGCACAAGGTTTCAGCAGAAACTCCTTAAAGAGACAAGACTGTCAAGATAAATACAGGTTTCAAACAGGATCTTGCAGAGGGTATAAAGAAAATAGGAATTCCAACACGTCAGGACCGGCCTGTTCTGTAGCACATTCACATTTAACAGCATCCACATGTCTTTTAACTTCTGCACTGTGAAGTACTCCGAGTAAAACAGCACATTTAATGAGAAACATGAGAGCAAGTTGATTCTATCCGTTACGAATAAAAAACATAAGAATAGATTATGTCCAGTGTTGTTCTTGTTACCTCATACTATTAAAAGTCATTTTGGGTCATCAAATACAGCTGAAATATAATAAAATATAAATACAGTATTAGATGAAAAATGAAGCAACCTTAATGTTGTCTTGGCAGCTAACTGAAATGAAGCACGTTTAAGTTGCAGTACAAAAAATACTAAAACTGAAATAAAACATAAACCACTGAAATAAAACAAGAACTAAAAAGGAGAACATAAAAATGAAAGCTAATCTCAAATATGAATACATATTATAATAGTAGTATATAAATAATACTCAAATATAATATTTATCATATAAGAAATACATAATAAATACTCAAATATGGTGAAAGAATATGGTTTTGAAGAAATTAGCAAGGGCAAGTTATCATATTCTAAAGCAAAAAAATAATTTAATTAAGAAAAAACATGCCCAGATGAATTGTGCACAACTGCACGAATATAAAATTATAGTATTTTCCAGAAAAGAAGTTGCACATGAAAATAAGTCACAACGTGTCAAAATTGCATGTCACATTTCAGAAATAATGTAAAACACCTGTAAATAAAACTAAAACTAAACTTTTACAAATATTCTAAACACTATAAATATGTATTTTAATTCTTACTACATAAAAAGTCCTATATTCAGAACAGAACAGGAATTATAAGAAAAAAACACATTATAGTGGCATTCATTATTAAGTCTAAATGTATTTTTTATATTAATAACAGATTTGAATATCAGTCGCTTTGGAATATAAGTTGCAGTATGTTTCATATTATAAAAAAAAAAAGTGGCTTATATTCCAGAAAAATATAATGGTTAAAAGAAACTGGTACCCATTTCTGAAGTAATTTTCATTGAATGTGCACTTTGATTTGTGTGCAGTAAATATGATTAATCTAACATGCACTTTTCTAGACAGAAAGGATGTGAATGGCTCTTCTATGGCTGTTTATATAATGATAATTTGACGTGTCTGGACTCACCTCAGCGAAGACGAAAGGCGTGTCGAATTTAAGGTAGACCTGTCCAGAGCGAATAGCGGCCAGTGACGCCGGGCCACAGCGGAACGTCCCGTGACTGGTCTCCTGGGGTGTGGAATCCACGGCCTGCCAGCCACCCATACCCGGAGGCAGATCCGGACGGGCCATCCAGCAGTCATTCCACACATGGAAGTTCCTGCAAAAGAGAGGAAATCACGGATTCAGAAAGAATGGGAAATGATATACCAGTACAACAGCAGTCTAGGACTTATTTCAATAAAATAATTCCATGAAAATGCACAAATCCTCACCATACAGAGTCCGAGTTGAGATGATGGATTGGTTCCATATTCTCATCAAAATACACATCTGTTGTCAAGGACACATCCGTATCATGGGCAGACTGGAAATTAGTTACGGAACGGGTAGGAATACCTAAACATCTCAATACTGGGACAGATAGAGAAAGAGAGCATGGTTTTAGCCATTTTTGTAAATATTCAATGTAATAATATACACAGTAAGTCTTATTTACTGTGACTCTATAAACAGCAAAAAAGTAAGGGGGTGGCCTACACTTTTGTTATCCAATCACAATCGCTCTCTTTCAATGATGATTCAAACGCGAGTTTTGAGCTGTGTAGAGTAGACTTGTTGTTTGTTGTTTCTCTGATCACAAATGCAGACATGGTTTTATGTTTACGCAGCGCGATACGCAACGCAAGTACATTATATGGAAAATAATGTGTTTTTTTAACCTTAAACCGCATAAACACATTGCATTACACCAAATACACCAAATAATGTTCTTTTTAGCAATGTCATATGACCCCTTTAAAATAACTATTTGTGGTAGTGTGAAGAACATTTAAAAATCTAAAGAACCTCTTTCCACTATAAAAAACATTTTTTTTTATTCCATGAATGTTAAAGGTTCTTCATGGAACCATCAATGCCAATAAAGAACCTTTATTTTCTAGAGTGTATATGCCTACAGTTGGAATCCTGAATAACTAACCCTAAGCTTTCCTGTTGTAAACAATGGCAAACGGAGGCTGTTATCTGCTCACACACACCTGTGGTTGTGACCCCAGAAAACACCCAGCACTGGCCGTATTTGACGGGCGTTCCTCCTTCTCTGTGGTATTGTCTGAGGATTTCAACACTTCCACTCCAGGCCGTGGGAGACGTCCCACCCGCGTAATTCCCAGACCAGTTTCCCTCCAGAACACCAAGGTCATCCGGAGAATTGATCTAGAACGGACAATCAGATAAACTCACTAAGGGTTTCTGAGGTCACTGCAGGTAAAGAGTGTTTGTTAATCTGGCACTCTTTACAGATCTGTTCCAGCAGTATTGCTGGATGTGGTGGCACTCACCATGGCAGAAATGACTCGGACCACATTGACAGGATCTCCTCTACCCGAGGGAGGAACCTCGCTATTATCCAGCACAAACAGACAGGCCTCCAGAATTCCTTCATCAAACTTGATGGGAGAGAGAGAGAGAGACAACTAGGTAAAATCTCAAGTCTAGCTAAGCATGGCCCAAAATTGGCTTTGTTAAACAAACAAATTCTGGTTGCAAAGTTGCCACATATTTTTGCTATTTTGTAAGCACAGTAATCACATGTTTTTTTCCAAGCCAGTCCACAATTATGGCATAATTGATGTCAGATTTACCGTAAACGCCACATATAAACAAAATGAACTGTGGTTTGGTGCTTTATAAGATGTCTTTTCCTGTCTAAGTGGGCAGTTCTTGTGAGAATAAGTTAAAAAATGCTTCACGTTTTTGTGATATGCATTTATATTTAGTCATTTAGCAGACGCTTTTATCCAAAGCGACATACAAATGAGGACAATGGAAGCAATCAAAATCAGCATGTGGTGTTTTCCAAAAAAAAAAAAAAATCTAAATAGAATCATTGTTGTTAAACTAAAACTATTAAATATTGTTTTTTGTAATTGAAATGAAGCTGAAATAAAAAGTAAATATTTCTTGAAAAACTAAAATCAGAAACCAATTGTTGCATTGCCAACTAACTGAAATACATAAGTTTAAGTTGAACTACTAAAATTACTAAAAAATGAAATAAAAATTATTAAACATTATTATTAAATTCAAATGACAAAAGCACATAACAAAATTACTAAAAGTAAAATAAAAACGAACAACGAAAACACACATATTTATGTGTGTGTGTGTGTGTGTGTGTTTAATTGCTAAAACAATAAGAAAATAACACTGACCAATATAAGTATATGGTGTATATACAGAAAAATGACTAAATCATTACATTTTCTTTCATTAAAAAAATCTTTAAAATCATTTAAAAATTATGCAAAATAAAGCTCAATGGCAGATAAAATATGTATGGCTGTTAAATGATCAGTACACTGATCACTGGTAGTTGTGGTAAAACATTATGTTTTATATCTGTGTGTCAATTCCTTGTATTCCACATACAAGGTGTTCTTTTTTGTATAAGGTAAGAAGTTCCCACAAGGATTTATCAGTAGCATGTTTTTCCCAGAAAGTGCTTTATTCTGCTTTATTCTTAGTGCGTTATTTATCTTCGCACCTGGCCGAAGTTCCACGTACGAGCTCCAATCTGCTTCTCAGTGCCATAGTAGATTCTTCCAGTGTCATTTAAGACGTACTCCTTCAGCTCTTTCTCCCCCTCCATGTACACCGTGTCATCTGAAGAGAGAGAGAGTCACGAGGGACCATGAACAGACAGTTCCAGGATTTGATTCGGTGGTTTGGGTCATTTTAAAAGAAAGCAGTGTTATAGAGTGATGTCATCAATGTGTGCCACCGCAGGGCGTCTGGAATCTGCTGTGTTCTGCTTTCATAATAACACTGACCAATATAAGTATATGGTGTATATACAGAAAAATGACTAAATCATTACATTTTCTTTCATTAAAAAAATCTTTAAAATCATTTAAAAAAAATAATGCAAAATAAAGCTCCATGGCAGATAAAATATGTATGGCTGTTAAATGATCAGTTCACTGATCGCTGGTAGTTGTGGTAAAACATTATGTTTTATATCTGTGTGTCAATTCCTTGTATTCCACATACAAGGTGTTCTTTTTTGTATAAGGTAAGAAGTTCCCACAAGGATTTATCAGTAGCATGTTTTTCCCAGAAAGTGCTTTATTCTGCTTTATTCTTAGTGCGTTATTTATCTTCGCACCTGGCCGAAGTTCCACGTACGAGCTCCAATCTGCTTCTCAGTGCCATAGTAGATTCTTCCAGTGTCATTTAAGACGTACTCCTTCAGCTCTTTCTCCCCCTCCATGTACACCGTGTCATCTGAAGAGAGAGAGAGTCATGAGGGACCATGAACAGACAGTTCCAGGATTTGATTCGGTGGTTTGGGTCATTTTAAAAGAAAGCAGTGTTATAGAGTGATGTCATCAATGTGTGCCACCGCAGGGCGTCTTTAAAAAAATCTTTAAAATCATTTAAAAATTATGCAAAATAAAGCTCAATGGCAGATAAAATATGTATGGCTGTTAAATGATCAGTACACTGATCACTGGTAGTTGTGGTAAAACATTATGTTTTATATCTGTGTGTCAATTCCTTGTATTCCACATACAAGGTGTTCTTTTTTGTGTAAGGTAAGAAGTTCTCACAAGGATTTATCAGTAGCATGTTTTTCCCAGAAAGTGCTTTATTCTGCTTTATTCCTAGTGCGTTATTTATCTTCGCACCTGGCCGAAGTTCCACGTACGAGCTCCAATCTGCTTCTCAGTGCCATAGTAGATTCTTCCAGTGTCATTTAAGACGTACTCCTTCAGCTCTTTCTCCCCCTCCATGTACACCGTGTCATCTGAAGAGAGAGAGAGTCACGAGGGACCATGAACAGACAGTTCCAGGATTTGATTCGGTGGTTTGGGTCATTTTAAAAGAAAGCAGTGTTATAGAGTGATGTCATCAATGTGTGCCACCGCAGGGCGTCTGGAATCTGCTGTGTTCTGCTTTCATCGAATGCTCTGTGTTCTGGGCGTTATCGTCTGAACAAGAGGGAGGTGCAATCAAACGGGAAAAGGGAAAAAAAGGAGGCACTATAATGTAACGGAAATGACTAGAGGAGATACTAGACGACTGAAAAGATTACAAAATGAATGGAAAAATGACTCATGCTAGAGAAAGTGTAATGGAAAGAGGCCAGAAAGAGTGAAGCATTGAGACAGAAAAACACAGCAGGCTCATACATACTATAGTTTATGTAGGGGACTTTATATACTGGAAAGGATTTTTTTTTTTTTAAAGATGTAATCATATTAGTTTTCCTTTAACACAACATCACAATTAAATGAACATATGTCAAAATTTTCCAATTTCTGAAAGTGTTGGTATTGCTATTTAAAACTATAGCTATTAAAAATAATTTACTTAATTGAAATAAAGCTGAAATAAAATTAAATATAAATATTAGATGAAAAAAATTCAACTTAATGTAAAAAAAAAATTGAAATGTATAAGTTTAACGAATGACTCTAATGAGCCGGCTCTTTTTAGTGAATCAAAACCGTACAGCGCAACTAGTTTAGTCCGATTCCTGAATGATGAATCTCTTATGAACTAACAGCACAACTGAATCTTGATTCTCGAACAAACTACTAATATGAGCCAGCTCAATCACAACCATACAGCACAGCCAGTTTAGTCTGATTCTTGAACAAATGACTCATATGAACAGGTTCTTTTCAATCAAATCAGTCCAACCGATTACTGAATGAATGACTCTATTTAGTGAATCAAACCAAATACAGCTCACAGCTTGACTCAAAGCAGTTAAGTTACTAACTGGTCATCCAAATAACATTTTGTAGTTATAGATTATTCAGTTTTGAAAGTATTATTTTATAAAAACCTAATAATGACTAAATTAAATGTTTCCACATTTTTTATTTAGCATTGTTGTTTAATAGATGTAGTTAAGACTTCATACTGGACTGCCTCTAAAACTAAAAAGTCTGTATAAATACACTTTTTGCAAGAATTTCAAGAATCTATTATCAAACCAATCATTTGGCAAAGGAAAAAAAATGAGGTGGCCATAACAACCATCATCTAATCTTACATTTCAAAAGACCATACGAAAAGCACCTCAAACAAAACTGATTCCTGCTTGACAGAGATGATGTAAAACTAAAATCAAGCTGTTTTGTAAGGACAAGATTACGAGTTGCAGCCAGTAACTGCAGCAAAGACAAGCAGCTGCTGGAACACAAATGGATTACAAGATTACGTTCATGAAGACTGACGTAAGTCACTGGGCTGCAAATGGAAACTTGCACCTTCGTGTTGTATTGCATTAACAGTTGCCTGTGCAATATTTTAGGCTGAATATATCAGTGTTTCCCAGACGTGCTTCAGTAGAGGTGTGCGTTGGCTTCTTGTCAATGAACGAGTTCAGTTAAAAGGAAAGTGTAGAGTCATCTTCTATCTACGCAAGCTTGATTTCATATATCACTGCATTCTGAAATGTGGCATAACAGGAACAGGAAATTATGGCAAAAAAAAAGAGCATAAAATATCTTCTTAAGGTAAGACGATGTGATTTCCATAACTTGCACCTTTCAAACTAGTGGAAAGAGAACATCTGAAATAAACATTTAAGTGTTTATTTGATTGCACTTTATCTATTTGCATCTGTAGATTTCAATTTTTTATTTAATCATTGGATCCTCTGCAGTAAATGGGTGCCATCAGAATGAGAGTTCAAACAGCTGATATTTTAGCAATAGTTTGAAGATCGATTAGTTTCTTACAAACATGCAGCTTTTCATTAAAGTCATTAAATGTTGGACTGGAGTGGTGTGGATTGCTTTTGGATTATTGTGATGTTTTTATCAGCTGTTTGGACTCTCATTCTGACGGCACCCATTCACTGTAAAAATTAAGTGTTATAAAACAAAACAGACTGAAAGAAAGCAAAGAATGACAGGAAGGGGCCTGGAGTGAACGAGGGGCCAAGAAGGGAGAGAAAGAGAGTGGGAGAGGGAGGATATATTTGACATGTGAATCTCCAGATGAGGTGGAGCTGTAAAAGAAGCATCAGAAAAAAAATGCAGGGAAAGAAAAGGTTTACTGTGCTTGGAGTGAACGGTGATTTGGCAGACCTCTCTCTTTCCTTACAAAGCATCTCTGGCATTCAGTGCAGGAAGGAGGGCGGGCAAATCCCCACCCAAGAAAACTAGCTTTAAACTATCAGACTAATAAGGACTCAAATACTTTGAATCAATGCAGAAGCTTTAAAGTAAAAAAAAAAAAAAAGTGTAAAAGGTATGTTATTTTATTATTATATGCATTAAGTAAGTTCTCATTATTTATTTTGATTATTAATTTATTATTTATATAATATATAATAATATATATTATGTATTATTCATTATCTATTTATTTTGATGAGCATTTCTATTATGTTTGATTGATTATTGCATTGTTTTATCTAGTTCATGATTCTTATCAGATGCAACACCGTAATGAGTCTACATCGGGAAACAGACAGTGATCACAGTCTATTGTGAGGCAGTTCTTTTAAAGGGGTCATATGATGCGATTTCAAGTTTTCCTTTCTCTTTGGAGTGTTACAAGCTGTTCGTGAATAGATAAGATCCCTAAAGTTGCAAAGACTAAAGTCTCAAAACCAAAGAGATATTCTTTATCAAAGTTAAGACTCTGCCACGCCCCCTGGCCTTTAGAAGAACGTGACGAATTCGGTTCCAGGTTTCGAAACTCCTGATAAATGATTACACAAAGGAGGATTCCAGCCAAATCATTTCCAGACACAACTGTGCTGAAATCCGGGTTATTATAGTTCACTAAAACTAAAGTCAAAAATGTACAGTTAACTACAATAAAATATAAAAACTGTAAACGTCCTTCATTCCAGCTAGTTGCCAAGGTAACATTTTTCATTTTCAGACTTTAATTTCAAATGCTAAAGTAACTAAAACTAAATAAACTCAAAGTAAATAAATAAATAAAATTGATATCAAATATACAGACAAACAGAACACACACAAGATATGAAACGTGAAAACAGCTGTCTAAGAAAATCAGTACACATGACTAAAGAAGAAAAAGTCAAGTTGCTTTTTAATGAAACGTTACTTTCATGATCCAATAAATTCCTGGTTTTTGGGTTGAACATCCTGTTTCAATCTGAAATTTGGAGGTACTTTACTTTATTGTCTGTACAGATTTCATATTTGATACTGGCATAAAACCATACAATAAACTGTATACTGTACGTACACTTACATATCTATAGAACACATGGAACACACACTGTGTATGTGTATGTATACTGTTTACTGTGGTAAGATGGGTTGTGAATCTAACCACATCAGTTAGTTTGAAGGGTTGAGTTATCTTGTATCAGTGTGAAGTGGTTTGTATTGCTTCAGGGATGAATTCCTTCTTATCTCTCCCTCACTTCCTCTCTCTGCACCAGAGGTGAGCTCTATCACTGAGAGAGAAATTTCGAACACATGCATTTATGCCCTTATCACAGGATGAGCATTCCCGTCGTGTTTGCCAGTCTAAAACTAACAATTATAAATCACAGTCAACAGAAACAGCAGAAAGAAAGACTGTATTTTAATAACAACATATACTAGTTTTGTTCATGAGCATGCATGTGTATGGGGGACTGGGACTAGTTGTCACACTTTTTACTCTGGTGAATATTTCTCATGCTGGGTTTATTTCTGAATGTCAAATATCTTGAGTCAGCGTTAAATAAAATTTTTGCTCAGGAAAAAATATACACGTTACATTAAACACTGGTTGACACTAAAGTGGGGCATTTTACCACATTATATGGGGTAAGTTGTCACAATGGAAATTTGCTGTTTATTGGCATGTTTTTAAATGTTACATTCTTTTATTAATTTATTTTATATTCTATTCCTAGATTTAAAATATAAGATATTTAAGATGGCATTTCAGCAACATTTAAACAATAAACATTATAAAAATTGAAAAGGTTCTTGAAATTGAAACTTTCTGACCATATTTCCTTGATTTTTTTCAGTTGTTTGGAAAGCATGAATAGGTTTTTTTAATCATTTTAGATTTCACTCAAAAAGAGTCAAAGCCAAATAAATTAAATGAATAAATAAATAAATACATACTTACATACATACATAAATATAGTTGAAATATGTATAATGATTTTTAGAAATATTTATTTAGTTATAAACAACTGAAAAGGTCTAGATTTATACCTGTGTATAAATACCCTCTGAATACTTGAAGATTTCACTACATGTTTAAAACCAGCATACAACACTAAAAGATAAGATAAAATCATGTATTCGTGAAATCTGACCATATAGTTCCTGAGATTCAACTTCACGCTCACCTGTCTTCATTTCCAGGTGAAGTTTATCTGTGTTTGGGTTGAAAGGTCGTGAGAGGTCGAGCTCTATTTGAAAAGTCTGGCCTCTGCGGATGATGAGCTGGTCGCTGTTGTATTGATCCGTGTGATGCTCCTTCTTGTTCCGATCGGATTTCCGACTGAGCAGATCCACAGAACGCACTGCTAGAGTCAACTCTGATGAGAAAGAGGGAGAGAAGAAGAAAAGGATTGAGTTTGAGGAACTTCAGCTGAAGTTTATGAAAAGAAGTCTCAAATCTTATGTAAGTAATCAGACCGAGCTCCTCACCGTCCAGCTCTGTATCTCCGGTGGGAGTCAGCGGAGTCGTCGGTCCTTCATTCTCTCCGTCCCCAGCAGCCACACCATCCACGTCACCGCTCACATCATACGAGCTGTTCTGTCTCCGGAAGCAACACGGACAGGCTCTCCGAAACCAGCGGCGGCATCCGCTCTCTTCTTTCTTCATTTTGGACTCGGTGTGTCTCTCTGGGACGGCCTGGCCATTGCTGGCAGAAACACCATGGAAACGGCCGACAGCGGCGTTATCTCGGATTGATAGTCTTTCTCCTGGCATCCTGGAAAACATCATACAAAATAATTAGATGGAAAATAGTGTAAAGACTTGAAATCCACACACAGACAATAAATGTTTAGCAATGCATTTGTTGATAATTATTAATTGCTGAAGCAAATGCAAAGAGAATGCAAATGAGATTTTAAAACTAAGATTCATAATCTAAAGGACAAATAATAAAAGGACAATAAAAAATAGAGAATTTGTTATTTTATAAAAACATTTCTGTCATGACAACTCTTGGATGGATTGGCATGGTAATGTACATGACAATGTTAATGTATTTGGTCTTGGCGGAATAGATCTGCTACGCTGCTGCTGCGGCGGCAGAGCAAGTACCGAGACTTGCTACTGCCAATACATCCACAGCTGTGCTATGTGATAATGATGTCATTAGGTCAGATTGAGTCAGACCTATCGGACTGTGTCATCTAGAGTTTCATGCCAGAACTCTGTATTTAAAGGGTTAGTTCACCCAAAAATGAAAATTCCGTCACTTTGCGTTCACGACAGTACCATGACGCGTGAGTGTGGCGGCGCCGGCACTGACCCAGATCCGGCGTGATGACATCATTACGCTGGATCTGGGTCAGCGCTGCCACACGCTCGCGTCATGATACTGTCATGAACGTGTGTCCAATGTGACGCAGTAGAGACGAAAATGTGGAATAAAGTCGTTATTTTTGTTTTCTTTGCGCAAAAAAGTATTCTCGTAGCTTCGTAACTTTACAGTTGAACCACTGATGTCACACGGACTACTTTGTCGATCATCTTGGTACTTTTCTGGACCTTGAACGTGGTAGTTACCTTGCTGTCTATGGGAGGGTCAGAGAGCCCTCAGATTTCATCAAAAATATCTTAAATTGTGTTCCGAAGATGAACGAAGGTCTTACGGGTTTGGAACAACACGAGGGTGAGTAATTAATGACAGAATTTTCATTTTTGGGTGAACTAACCCTTTAAACTGACGTTTGTTTGATTGGCCAGAACATTTTATAGGAAAGAGCATTGTAGAAGTAGGCTAGTATTTAGAAATGATAAATAATACTAATATTTTAATTAGATTAGTATTCCATTCCAAACATAGCATAACGCTTTCTCCCATGTTACATAATCAAAAAGTTCAGCTGCATGAAAGCCACCATGGAAAGAAAAAGTCCCCATACATCTGCATTTCTCCACAGAGTTGTTAAAGTAATTGCCTATTTGGACATGAGCCGTAAACTTCGGCATGCTGTTTAAACATACAGGAATTTCCCCGCATTGCTTCCGCTGGCAGATGTGCCCCAGATTGCCATTAAAATATATGTCAGTGATTATTCACAAATGATCAGTGATCACTAGCACTTTGGTACAGAAAAGATTTAATGAAAAGGAACAGAAATGCTGACATTGCATGTGGATTCGGTCCCAGTGGCACTGAATAAACAGTAAAAATGAGAACCATGTGTTTCCTCCAAATGGCCTTGTGCTCTCCTCCATCTCCTCAACATGTTTTCTTCTGTTTTCTCAAGACTTTTCTCACAATCGCCAAATTCCATTTGTGAGATGCATTCCTTTCATCTTAACATAAACCAGACATGCCTCTGCAGTACCTTCTCAACAGAAAGGAGATTAAATGGACAGCAAATTGAGATTTTTAAAATATTGTTCTCGTCAGATTTTCCTCTTCAGACCCCAATAATCTCACTTTTAAACTTCAGAGACTCTCAAACAGTGCTCAGATTTGCAGAGATACAAACACCTGCAATACAAATCCGAAGATTTCAATATAAACTCAAACAGACCAAATGATCTGATATTCATTTGAAAGCTCTATACTCTAAACTATTGACTCATTTGTGCTTCTATGTTGATTTCTCCAAATACATGGATGTGATACATCAACAAAACATAACTGGGAGCTTGTTTGAGTCTCTTTAGCTATAAAAAGGGGCAAATTTTACTCAAGGCATGTTACTGATCTGTTATCCTCTTATTTAAATGTGTTGTAAGCAATTTCACCCATTTTGCTGACTTCCATCAGATCGAGCCTCTCAATTAGATTGCTTTTAAACACATCAGCTAACATGTTTGGTTATATTTACCTTTTAGTTAAAAAAATGGCCAAAGGTTTACCAGTATAACACATTCAAACACACACAGCTCTGCTCATAAGTCTGCAGCTGTATATGTGAATGTGTTCAGACCAAGAATCTGTGCTATGCAGCTCTGGATGACTGTAAGTCACTGAAGCCTGCAGACTGTATGCCATGAATACTACAGTTACAGGACAGACCAGAGGACAAATGTGAATGCAAATAACATCTGCTTTGACATGTTTTATTCAATTAGGAAATATGCATTCATGATTGGTGTCATGAAAACTTTCACAAGGCCTGATGAGTCGCCTTCAATTTAAAGGCTCTCACAGGAGCAAACACTCAAAGACTCAAAGCAATTCAAGCAATTCTCTGTCTTTAACCAATGAGCCACCCAATTTCCTACAAGACTCATGAGGTCACAACCTCTACGGCCCTGCAGGCACAAACTTATCTGTCTAGGAATGAGAAATCATAAATGAGAGCTCTTTAATGCCTCAATTGTTTCTTCTAGACAGAACAAATGAAGACTTTTGCTCCTGCTTCCATGTGTCTTGTCTAGACTCTCAGAATAGATCTGAATTATAACATACCAAATCAAAATAAAAGTCTGATGGTTAAGCGTTTGAAAATGAAGAAATTAAGAATAAACAATAACCATAAATAATAGCATTGTCACATTAAAGTTTTAATTTAAAATAAATTATTATATTGTTTCATTTTAAAACGTTTCTTAAATACTCATTTTTTAATTTTACAGTGGTGATTATTTATTATTTTATTTATAATATTATTTTTCTAAAATACTACTTTGTATTTAACAGTGAAATATTACAATAGTAATAATTTGCTTTTAATTTGTACATTTATATTTTATAGTAATTAAAAAAAAAGAAATTTATAGTAGTACTTAATAATTATGAAATACTTTTTCGAGGTTGCAGGGCTCTACGCTTATTTTTCTTTTTAGGAGCGCTTGTGCTCCTAACTTAAAAAATTTAGGAGCACCAAAATT